GTGATAAATATCTTGGTAATTTATTTCATTATAAATGGACACTTTTGACAACTTATAATTATATACATTTATGGGGAACTAAATGACTTTATTATTTATAAATCTAAAATGATTAGGCCAACCTAAATATATTCATCACCATAAATACTTAATTTTTGTGGTGAGAACATTGAAACTGCTAGCAATTTTCAAATGTGTGCTACACTATTTTTAACTATATTGACATACTGTGCAATAGATCCTATTAAGTACTCCTACTTCTCCTCTCTCATATTTTGAACTCTTGACCATCTCAATGGTTAATTATAAAAGAAGAATCTAGGTCTTTTTAGTTTTGTCTTATTAGTAGTTAGGAAGGTTGTTGATGTTGGTAGTTACCTTTCCCTCCTTCATTCTCTCCATCTCTCTCTCCATTCCTCCCTCATACTAGGGCTTTGAACTCAGGGCCTTACAAGAATGTGAAGCTTTGTGGCTTATGGATGTTGGTCTGTCACTTGAGCCATGCACTTTTCTGGTTAATTGGAGATGGAATGCTATATACACAGCCTACTGAGTAGCTAGGTTTACAGGTGTGAGTCACCAGTCCCTGGCACTATTTTTTTTTAAAGTAGGGATTTGTTAAGTTGCCAGACTGGCCTTAAACTCATAATTTTTCTGCCTTAGCCACCCAGGTAGCTGGTGGTATAGGTATAAGCCACAGTACTTGGCTTACCAATTTAAAAAATGGTATTTTGACATCTTGTGAAATAAAAAGCTGTCAGCCTTTAACTGTGACAACTCAAAGGGCGGGGTATGTGTTGGATTGGTTCAACAAACACTTAAACAGTACCTCTCTTAAACTGCCTTCTCTGTCCTGGAGAGTTGTTTCTGCCATTTTGTAGGAAACCTTCCATATTGTACATAGTTCTTATGTTCCTATCACTGCCTTCCTCCACCACCAGAGTTTACCTGTTGCTCTTTTTTTTGGGGGGGGGGGGGGGTCCAGTCATGGGCCTGAACTTTGGGTCTGGACGCTGTCCCTTGACTCTTCAGCTCAAGGCTAGCGCTCTACCACTTAGGCCACAGTGCCACTTCCAGCTTTTTTTTCTTTTTTTCTGCTTATATGGTGCTGAGGAATCAAACCCAGGGCCTCATGCATGCAAGGCAAATGCTCTACCACTGAGCCACCTTCCCAGCCCGTACCTGTTGCTCTTTTGTTGGAGTCTTGCTTTGTACCTTGGTAGTTTGGGTGGTGGTTCACTCCTCCCTGCTTGTGGAGGGGCAGGAACTACACTGAATCTCTTAGCCTGTATTCTGTCCAACTCTAGAAGAGTAAGTACTGCAAGTCTCAAGGACCAGCAGCGTCTGCATCAGCTGATCCTTAGGGCTTTCTTGTTACAAAAATCTGATCCCTTGTCACACAAGTGGAGGGTGAAGGGATAACCAACTGCTTTGGAGACCTGATATAGTTTATGTAGTATTTGGGCTCTATAGTAATGTGTTTTTTTCTGTGTTTAACAAGGAGACACCAGCTCTCATAGTCGAACTCCTATTCCTTCTCATTAAGTTACAGAGAAGATGGACTGTATAAAATCACCAAAGGAAGCAAAGTGCCGAGCATCAGCAGCTTACACTTATAATCATAGCTACTCAAGAGGCTGAGAACTAAGGATCACAGTTCAAAGACAGCCTGGGCAGAAAATTCCCCATGAGATTTCTTATCTCTAGTTAACTACTCAAAAACTGGAAGTAGAGCTGTGGCTCAAAGTGGTGGAGCGCTAGCCTTGAGCAAAAGAACCCAGGGACAAAGCCCAGGCCCTGAATTCAAGCCCTATATTGGACTTAAAAAAAAAAGTTACAAAGTACCAATTTTTTTTTCTTTAACTTTTTACCAGTTCTTTTTGTCCATGTTAATTGCTACTCTTGAGCGTTCTCGTTTTTTTGTTTTTTTTTTTTCTTTTTTTTTTATTGGATCTGTTAAGAATGTATTAAGCACCAGGCTCTAGGGATTCAGTGGTGAGTGAGACAGTTATGGCCTCTTTTACCGTAGAGTTAACACAGTTGCCCAAAAAGTTACCAGAATCCTCTGCATATCTGTTGACCTGTTCCATGTCCTCTGCTTCCTTACAGAGGCCCCGTCTCACATCAACATGGCACTTTTTTTTTTTTAATCTGCTGAGTTAGATTTTGTATGCTGGCATTTATATTTTATTGTGGTCCTAGGGACATAATCCATTAAGTGTGACACCAAAGGACTCACAATGTTATCACAGGGCCATGAAATGCATCAGTTTTATTTAAAGTCACAGAAATATGAATACAGTAAAAGTCGGTTGAATTATATTCATCTTCCAATCAACACAGTTATAAAATACAACTTTCAATGTTTTCTTATTGTTGAAGGGAAAAGTACATGGGGCTTATAGAAGCTGTAGTGTAGTTGCGCTTATGACACATGACCCTCACTGTGTTTACTTTATAATGTTGCTGGATAGGACTCACAAAAGACAGAGGCTGTGCCTAAGCACTGTCTCAGGGCCTAACACGGGACCTGCTATGACTCAGGTATAGCTCAGTGACATATATCTATTTCCTCCCTCCCTTCCCTTCTTCTGCCTCTACTTCTCCCCTTCTTTCTTCCTCTCTCTATTATCAAGTGATTGATTAATTGACTGTACAAGATCTGAAATCAAGGCTTCTTGCTCCCTAGGTAAGTGCTCTATCAATTGAACTACCAGCCCAACAGCAGTTCTTTTTGAGGAGAGTTTTATCCACTTCAGAGTAACATGGTTGTCTTTCTATTAGCTTATGGGCAGGTCAGGGGGAGAGAACTATAGACAGAGCTAAGTCTGCATCCCAGAAACAGCCTGGGTCAGTGTAGCCCAGACATGTTCATACTTTCCAGAACTCATGTTTTCCATATAGGTGACACAGGAAAGCAGTAGTTAAGAGTAATGGACTTGTGCTTGTAGAGCACCTTGCATCTTGCAACCTTCAATTTCTTCATCACTGCAGTGAAAACCATAAAACATACCTTTTAGAGATGCTGTGAAGATTAGGTGGCATGTTTGTAGAGTTCTGTTATCCACAACACTATAGCTGATACTTGGAGCAGAGTTCATGTAGTTCTATTCCTAATCCTTGTTTATCCTAGGATATAGCACCACTTTAATAATAGCAGCCTTGAAACTGGGAAACACAGCAATGTCTTGGACCAAGTCAGGATAGCCAAGCAGTTTGGCTATAGCTACTGGGCCAGCATATAATTGCAGGCAGCAAGTATTTTCCTGTTTAAGATGACATAGCAGACACCACAGGACCATCCTGTGATCATCAGGAAATAAGCTATCTCCCAGTGTTGTAGAGGAAGTTCTGACAGGATACTCTTGTGAAATGCTTGCTAGAGTGAAAGTGACAGGAATGACGAGGGGATGTAAAGTGTAAACCTTTGTCTCTGCTTACCTCAGGCCAGTTCCGCTTCCAGTACCAACTACTCAGTAGAAACTGGCGTCGTCTTCTAGTACCAGGGACTAAAATTGACATTATTTTATTTCCTTTCAGGTTCTACTTCACCAACTGGCACGGGACCAATGATAATGAACAGTCTGTGTGGCGACATTCTCCAAAGAAGCAGAAAAATGGCTATGAGAAAAAAAAGGTTCCAGATGCAACCCCTCTCCTTGATGCCAGCTCATTAGAGTATCTGTTTGCTCAGGTAGGAAGTTTGGGTTCAGGATGACCTGGATTTTGTGGGGAGACTGAGGCATCTGCTGGATTTAGATTCCTGGTACAGCTGAGTCTGGTGGGCTAGGGTATGTTATGTCCTGTTTTGTGGAAATTCTTGCTGTATTTAGGCTTGCCCCAGGTGAGAGGGGAGGCAGCAGTTCAGCCTCCCAAGAAGCTAGCTGTTCTGCTTTTGGATTTTGCAGGATTTTATTCTCTATTGCTTTCTTCCTTCCAATCCACTGCCATTTTGCTTGTTATCTGTGATGTCCTATGCACAGAGTTGAGGGGATTTGATCTTATTCATGCAATAAATGAATGATGATTCTTGTGACATGTAGGAAGTAGGTTGGCCCTGGTCAGAATTAACTCCCAATGTATTAGTTGAGAGTCTAAAACAGCGACCCAGAAGGGAGAAATTGCTGGTTTTGTTTAGTGTAATGGCAGTGATGTTGAATAAGAATGAACAGATCTGCCATTTATTTTGAAGATGAAATTGATACGACCTTCTGATGTGCAAGGTGAGAGGATTGGAAGATGCATGATGATTTCTAGGAGTTTGTTTGGGGCAATGTTTGGTGGAGAGTGAGCCTGAGGAAGATTTAGTTCCCCTTTGGAGAAGCTTATGAGACATACAAGAGGAGCTTTAGGGGGCTGGGAAGGTGGCTCCGTGGTAGAGCACTTGCCTTGCATGCATGAGGCCCTGGGTTTGATTCCTCAGCACCACATAAGCAGAAAAAGCCAGAAGTGGCACTGTGGCTCAAGTGGTAGAGGGTTAGCCTTGAGCTGAAGAGCTGAGGGACAGTGCCCAGGCCCAGAGTTCAGGCCCCACGACTAGACCACTCCTACCCCCCCAAAAGAGAGGAGCTTTAGATAAGAAATTGAATAATGATACTAGAAAGCAAATCCTTTATTTGTTTATTATTTATTTATCACATACTCCTTGATGTTTTTGTTTTTTTCTCAAGTTTTCCCTATGATGCTATCATTATGATAAGCTGTTATGAACAACCTAACTTCATATATATATATGGGTTTCTGTCCATGCCTTTTATTTCCTTAGGACATGAGTTTTTATATCGAAGTTACAGCTCACTGTACAGCTTTCATTACTGATTGTACTTTATCCTGTTCCCTAAGTAAATTAGAACTAGCTTTAGAGACTATTATAGAGAAACAAGATAATGTATAACCATGGGCAGATATTGTTTAGACAGAAATAATCAGACTGATCTTTTTGACATCAACCTCTCAGTTTCATGTATCTCTATTTGAGATTTATTCTTTTTTCCCCCCACCTATGTTTCCCCATTCATAATATAGATTAAGTACAGGGCCTAGGCTAAAGTGTATATGGGGTAGGTTTACTCTGCCTCCTCCTTCTATACAGTCAGTGTAAGAACACAGCCCATGGTAGGCACCAGGAGGCCTCTGCGATTTATTCTTTCATCATTCTTGGGAGCAGAGGTATAAAGGAAGACTATGACATATTTCAAGGATGAAGTATTACATTAATACTCTGGCCTTTTGCAGAATTATGTATGATGTAGTTGTGTAGAAAATGTTCACAGAAAAATCAGTTACACTTGCTCCTCCCCCCAAAAAAAATCCTAGCTTCAGATTTTGTTCTTGTCTTGCTTAGTACATTATAAGAAGATTATTGTTGGTTTTCAGAAATTTGTAGAATTTGCTAGTAACCTTTCCTTACCTAAGAGGAACAAGAAGTCCAATCGTGGGCAGAAAAGGAACTGCAGCTTGAGAATCCCCTAAAAAGTCATCAGGGGACTGGGAAGATGGCTCAGTGGTAGAGCGCTTGCCTTGCATGCATGAGGCCCTGGGTTCGATTCCTTAGCACCACATAAGCAGAAAAAAAAAAGCCAGAAATGGTGCTGTGGCTCAAGTGGTAGAGCGCTAGTCTTGAACTGAAGAGCTGAGGGACAGCGCAAGGCCCAGAGTTCAGGCCCACGACCGCCCCCCCCCCCCAAAAAAAAAAAAAGAGTCATCAGGTACTGGTGGCTCACACCTATAATCCTAGCTACATAGAGGGCTGAGCCCCCACAGAAGTCCATGAGACTCTTATCACCCAGAAGCTGGAAGTAGAGCTGTGGCTCAAGTGGTAAAGTGCTGGCCTGGACCATGCCCTGCCCCCTGAGTTCAAGCCCCAGAACTGGCACACACACGACTGTGCCTGCCTGCGTGTGTGTGCACACCCATACACACAGCCATCACAGTGAAGTTTTTGAGAGAAAATGAGTGTCTTCAATAGGAGCCCCTCTTCACATCTTTCCCTGCACCAGTCTAGAAAAAGACTGAAGAGTTTAGAGTCCTCAGTGTGCTGAGTGCTTTTACGTCTTCAGTGCAGATTGTGTATGGCTATGGTACAATGTTGAAGAAAGGCTCCTTGGAATCAGGTCTAGGTTGAATCTTAACCTACCACTCACTAAACTCCTGGCCCCATACTACTCTGTTCTATTGATGCTTTTGGTAGGTACCTCTCTGTCATTCGATCATCTTGTTTGTTTATTATACTGGGGTTTGAACTTGGCCTCATGTTTATTATGCAGGTGCTCTGCCACTTGAGACATGCTCCCTAGCCCTTTTTACTTATTTGTTAGATAGGGTCTCTCATTTTTACCTTGTCTTGCCTTGGTCAACAATCCTCCTACCTATGCCTCCCATGTAACTAGAATAGCAAATATGTACCACGGTATCCAACTCACTAACTTTTTACCCAGGCTGGTCTCAAACTTTAATCTCTCAATCTCAGTCTCTCAAGTAGCTGGGATTACATCTAGGTACCATACTCAGCCTTTCTTCCTCTTTAGAATGGAATCCCCATGAGGTCAGGCATGGTTTAGTTAATTGCAATCTGTCCAATGCCTCTCATTATTTGTGGCCCATAATTGATTCTGCTGAATGAATGAGTGGGATTGCCTTAGAGTCCTCATCTGTTAGAGAGAGCTAATGTTAATACCTGCCTGACATGGCTATTATAAATATTAAGTGAAATAATAAAAAGGAACCGAGCATAGAATCTAGAAATGAGATTGGGATTAAGAAGAGAGCCAAAATGGACATCATCATCATTGCTTTGAACAAGGCAGTTTTGGAACTCTTTGCTAAGTTTCTCTGCCTCCTAATTACATAAGGGGTGTGTACCCTGATGCTAAGGTTCAATACTGGAAACTTGAACAGCAGATGTGGAAACATACATGCGATAGATGCACTATAGAATGTGAATTCCTTCCCCTTTCTTTTAAGTTTACATTAGAAAGGGAGGCTGTGGCCCTGCCAACTTTATATACCAGTTTTTGGACTAGCTGTCTAGTATGTTTGTGGAATTAAAGAGTGATCAGAGTCACTCAGCCTAGTGTCACTACTGTGCTCTGGTGTAGCTTAGTCTAGCATGCTCTGGGATGTCATTCAGCCCAGTGTCACTTTCCCATGCTCTAGTGTAGTTTGCTGATATGGCAAGCTCTGTGGAGGGGCTTTATATGTTTGTACTCTTCACCAATGCATTTCAGAGTGCCCAAAAAATACTGCTTAATTGAATGACTGAAACTAAGGAGAACATTAATGCCCAGCTTTGTTGAAAAGTTTTGATGTTGGAGAAACTGTAAATATGATTTGTATCATTGCTGTAGTGCTTTTCTGGGTGTCATCTCCCAGTCTGAAAGCTGTACTGTCAAGATAAAAAAAAGACAAGTAGGACCAGTTAGGAGTGGCTCATACCTGTATTCCTGCTACTCTGCTATTCAGGAGGCTAAGATCTGAGGATCAAGGTCTGAAGCCAGCCTGGGTAGGAAAGTATGTGAGAGTCTTATCTCCAAATAAGAGTGCATGTGTGCGCACGTGTGTGTGCACGTGTGTGTGCATGCACACACACACACACACACACACACACACACCCCAAACAAACCAGGAGTGGATCTGTGGCTCAAGTGGTAGAGTGCTAGCCTTGAGCAAAAACACCCAGGGATAGTACCCAGGCCCTGAGTTCAAACCCCAAATGGGCAAAAAAATTAAAAAAAAAAAAGACAAGTGGGCTTTGATGCTAAGTGATTATGGTTCATTTTACTCCAAAGGGACAGTATGATTTGATCAAATGCCTAGCTCCCATTCGAGACCCTAAGACTGAGCAGGATGGACATGATATTGAGAACGAGTGCCTCGGAATGGCTGTCCTGGCCATCTCACACTATGCCATGATAAAGAAGATGCAGTTGCCAGAACTTCCCAAGGACATCAGGTAATCCCTTCTTCTGGACAAAGAGTGGATGGTGGAGACGATGTTGTTTTTATATGCGCTCACACATGTCATATGACTGCACCCAGCATTTGCTTAACACCTGTTCTCTGCAAAACCCAAATCTTAGAATACTTGAAAAAGATAGCTTACTTAAAACTGAGACCTGATTTTTAAAAAAATGTTTTGTTGTTATTATAACAGTGATGTACAGAGAGGTTACAGTTACACAAATCAGGTGAAAAGTGCATTTATGCTTTGTTCTTTTTTTGTTTGATTTTTTTTTTTTTTTTGTAAGTCGTGGGGCTTGAACTCAAGACTTGGGCATTGTCTCTAAGCTCTTTTGCTCAAGGCTAGTGTTCTACCATTTTGAGCCACAGCTCCACTTCCAAGAGTACTTTTTGGACAATATCATCCCTTCCCTTGCTCTGTGATCTGATTTTAAATAATGACTGGTAGTCTCAGAAACCTATTCGGCAGTGTAATTTTTTGAATAAAGATTCCACTCAGGTTAGTGACTCACCTTCTTCTTACCCATGGTGGATATTGCCATCTGTGTCTGCAGTTTTCTCCATAGTGTCCTATTTCACAGTCCTCAATATTGCAGTATAAGAAGCTGTTGCCACCCTAGCCTGAACTCCCAGAGAGCTTACATAGCATACTAGGGAGCCATTCATTCTTACATGTGGGATGATCAAATTTCATTATATTATATAAGAAAATTGTATTTATATTATAAAATATTAAAGGTTAATAATCAGCATGTTTTTAATTTTGTATAGTTTTTTTTTTTTTTACTCCTCAATAGGGTATTGTTACTGTCATAAATGAAGAGAGTCTCTATATCAAGAGGTTTTTTTTATGGCTCCATTAACTATAATAGGTAGTAAATATCTCATAAAGGTACTTGTTTTTTTACTTTATGGTACTGGGGTTTGAGCTCCAGGCCTTGTGTTTGCCAGACAGGCTTTCTACTACTTGAGCCACATCCTCAGTCTGACTTCTTGTTTCTCTTTACCCTTGACCATAGTCCATTTCATTCTCAGTAAAGCAAGAACTGATTAACATGCTGAGTTATTGCTTTCTCTTTTTTTCTGTTGCCTTTAACCTTCATTCTGGGTGCGTGCGTGTGTGCGTGTGTGCGTGTGTGCGTGTGTGTGTGTGTGTGTGTGTGTGTGTGTGTGTATTTATTTATTTACTTTTGGTACCGGTTCTTGGGCTTGAACTCAATGTGCTTTAGCTTTTTCACTCAAGCCTGCCACTCTTCTATTTGAGCCATAACTCTTCTTCTGGCTTTTAATTGTAGTTAAGAGTGTCATGGACTTTCCTGTCCAGGCTGGCTTCTAAACCTTCATCTTCATATCTTAATCTCTTGAGATCTGAAGCTATGGTTATAGACGTGAACCACTTGTGCCTGGCCGTCTTTATATTTTCATTAGGCTGAAACAAAAAGACAGCTCTTCTCTCTTGTATTAATCTATATTAAAAATTATACTATAAGTTGAGGATAAATGCCAAACTTCATAATATACCTCTGCTGTGAAACCATTAATGTTGCAGGGCTTCTCTGGGACAGGTATACCACACTCCTGGGGATAACAAGCAAATAAGTCTCCTCATTTTTCTTTTATAGATGCTCATGGTCATCTTAGAACTGACTCTTGTTTTGAAAATACTACCAGTTTATTGAGACTGATTGTTATATATCTTCTCATTAGTACCTTGACGGGTAACTATTCTTTCTGTTGACTATATGATCCACTTACTATATCTGGGATGTACTCACGTGGCAAACACTTAGCCTTCGAGTACTTTTCTTATTTTTTAAATAAAAAAAATCCTATGGCTGGGGCTGGTGGCCCACCACTGTAACTCTAGCTATTCAGGAGGCCGAGATCTGAGGATCTGGGATCAAAGCTATCCTGGGCAGAAAAGTCCATGAGACTCATTATCTACAAATAATCACCAGAAAACCAGAAGTGGCACTGTGGCTCAAAGTAGTAGAATGCTAGCTGTGAGCAAAAAAAGCTCAGGGACAGTACCCAGGCCCTGAGTTCAAGTTCCACGACTGACAAAAATATACAAAATAAAATAGAAAATAAAAAGCCCTATGATCTTTATAGAAAAATAAGCAGACAGACAGGCAAAGTAGCACATTGCCATACATTATTATATGTGAGTGTT